ATATATTTGGAGCAACTAGTAAGGATATTTTCATACATGCTTAATAGATGAATAATTAGTCAATCTAGTTGTTTTATTACTTGTTTTACTCGAGGACGAGTAAAAATCTAAGTTTGGGGGTGTGTTAACCTCTAGAAGTTCATGTTATTTCATCACATTTTCCTTAGATTCCAATCCATTTTGGTTCAATTGTATATGTTTTTATTTTCCAAATTAGGAAAATGTGCATTTTATTTTGGGCTTGTATTCTTGGCTTTAATTTGATATTTTTAGCCTAATTTCATGTTATTTTGATTGAAATTTTGATTAGAAGCATTTCTGGAGCTTTGTGGATGTTTTTGGAAGGCTTTGGATGAAGAAATCAAACGTAAAATGAATGATTTTTGTTAGCTACAAAAACAGTGCAAAAATATCAAAGTCATCCCAAAGTCGTGACTTTCGTTCGCGACTTTCGCCGCTATCAAAAAATGCTGCATTTTATTTATCAGAAATTAGTTAGCTAGGACATATATATGCTGAGAGCTCGACCCAGAATGCATTCTTGAGACTTTTAGACATATTTTGAGCTTGGTTATGATTTAGACATTGGAAGAGTTGGGATCAACAGATTGAAGCTTTGAAGACATTTGGAGCTCTTCTTCTTTGGTTTTTCTATTCCTCTTCCCTTTCCCATCTTGTAATCTAAAATGGGTCCACTTATTTTGTATATTTGTAGCTTGTGGATGATTATGAGTAGCTAAACCTCTTGTTCTAGGATTATTTAAAACCCTTGTATGGATTAATACTATGTTCCTCCTCTCTTTTTGTGATTAATAATATATATGTATTTATGTTACTCTTTCCTTAATGCTTCTAAGTGATTGGCCACCATTTTGATGTTGGGCTCACTCAATTGATACTTGAGAGGGTTAGATTGAGTGCAGAACTTAGGTAAAATTGCATAAGAACTTGATATTTGCATGTTAAATGGATGGTTTTGCTAGTAAGATAGAGATATACTTGCTAGCCTTGCATAGCCACATTAGGGTTGGTGTTTAAAATTGAGTTTTATTAATTATAATAAGAGATTGAACAATTAATTTAACTAAACACTTATTCATAACTTGAGAGAGCTTGTCCAAGTATTTTTAAAACCCTAAGTTAGCACTTATTTTCATTAAAAGCATTTATAAGAGGAGGTAATTTTGGTGTTGTGAAATGCAAGGGGGATAAATAATCCTAGGTCCTAAATTGTGTTGGAAATTTGTGAATCACTCACTTTTCTTTATTTTCTAGTGTTAGTTTCATTTATAAAATCACTTTCACCTAACTTTGTGTAGCTCAACTTAATCGAATTTACTTAGTCTTTTGCTTGATTATAGTTTTTAAACAAATTCTCAAGAGAACGATATTTTATTCATTTTATATTACTTGCTATGACCCGTATACTTGCGGTGAGCAACAGTTGTTAATAAGGTTGAGGATCGGACTTAATTGAAAACAAACATCTTAACTATTATCCAAAATTTCTCATTCCCACCCCTCTTCTAACTCCCCTTACACGACTAGGATACTCTTGTTTCTTCATAGCAATAGTGAAGATGTCATTCCTTCCATTTGGAGTGAAGGATCCTTGTGATTATTTGTTTTTAATATCATCCCATAACTTACTAATAATAACCATAAGCAATAATATAATTAGTTAACTAAAAAATAATATTAGTAATTATAACCTTTTTTTTTTTTGCAACTATGTGAGCATCTTTACTCATATAGGTCTTGCTCCTCATTTGGTAAACATACCTCCATTTATCTTTGCATTATATCAAAGATGGTGAAGTTAGAATGGAAGGATTAGACTTATCTTATTATTCTATCCTCTTCCGCTTGGCTACCATCAAGTTTTTGTCAACCTTAGAATAACTCCTACAAGACATTATGCAAGGATAATGATTCTTCTTGCCATTCTCTTGTACTTTTGCCTTTTTTTTCCTGTAAATAAGAATTAAAAAAAATACAATCAATCAATAAAGACAACCATTAATAATTGAAATGATTCATAACTCAAAATAAATAAACTCACTTCTGGTATGGTCTAAGGCCTATAATAGTCATATTATTCTTCCTAATTAACCTATACTGTGTCATTCTCATTCAATTGTTTTCTTTCCTTATAAGTTCTTTATGAATAGATATATAGTCTTGAACTTCATCAATATTATTCAAGATATGTATGTGTACTTTTTTGTGCTTAATCATGATCCAAACTCTTATTGTAACCTCATGTTTATCCCTATCTCCCTCATAAGGGTTACTATGCCCAAAAGGTCATATTGTATTTAAGTAATATTGGAAAAATTCTATTGGTTCTTCATAAACATATTTTTAGTTAATGGATGCTTCATGCCAATGCAGATTCTTCACATATCCTTTTAGGACTTTCATTGTTTTTTCAACTAGATACATCCATATCTTAAATAAACAAGGCCACACAACTTTATCTCCCTTACTAGATAAACATTTATGTGTGCCATGATATCAAATTATGAAGGAAGAAAGAGCTTTCTATGTTGGCACAATAATATAAGCTTCATTTTCTAGTATATCCAATTTAGTGTGATCAAATACTTTATTCCATATAGCATTGAAAAAGATGCAAAGTCTAGTCATACAATGCCTCACATCATCTTCCAGGATGCCTCGAATAGCTACTGGTAACTAGCAATTGTTGCATTAGGACATCACAATCATGATATTTTAGGCCTATTAATTTAAAGTCTTCCACTGACACAAGCTTGTTAACATTTGAAGAATACCTTGAGGGCACTTTGATGCCATGTAAAGACTTACAAATTATTTTTTCTCAATCTTGGAAATAGTGTGTTTTAAAACTATACAACATCAGTTACATGATCCCTTTTCTCAATTTTCTTTTCACTTCTAAGGGATATAATGTCGGTAACATAAGTAACTGACGTCGTAACCCATAAATTTTTTATTTTTTTATTTTATAGGTTTTCAACATCAGTTACTATATTAACCAACTTTGAAACTATTATACGATGTTAGTTACATGGGTCAGTAACCGACATCGTATCCTTATAATTGTAATTTTTTTTTTCTTTTTTAGGTTTTCAATGTCGATTACTCATGTAACTGACATGGAAAATTACTTTGATGTTGGTTATTAAATAACCGATGTTAAATATCTCAACTTAATTATGTTTTTGCCACCGCTTTATTTATAACCACGATTTTTTGTGGGTTTGGGAGTTTGGGAGATAATAAATTCACTTACCATCTAATCTACCTAAGCTATGTAATGATAAGAAGGGTCATGATGGGTGAGCTTGAAGTGATGCATGGTTAGTATGAGTTTGCACTAGGTAGGTTGACTTAAAAGTTGAGTTGTTAAAGTGTTCGAGAGACTTTTCTTTATACTGTTGTGTTTAACAGAGAAATGTAATGATATGCTTTTATGATTCCAAATACTTTTGTTATTAGAGAATTTTGTGTTCAATTTGGAGTCATTGAATTAATTTTGAAAGAAAATGAGGCTTTTATTTGAAGAAAAATATAAGAAAAATGCTTTTGAAAATAAGAAGGGAGAACTGATAACATCTTGTTGAAATCAATTGATAACTTGATCTAAAATTGCATAAATGATGCTATATTGTGTGTAAGGTGATCCAAATTAAGAATCAAAATGTTGTTTAGAAGTAAATATTGAAGATAAAGCAAAGTTGAAATTATGCCCACCGTCCTTGCAACATGCTAAAGTGTAATGGCTAGTGACAGTAATAGAATGGCTTTACAATGCAACATAATGGAAATATGTTGCAGCTTGATTGTTAGCTAGTGAAATGCGTAGCTTCATTGAAAATTGATATTTTTAGGGTTATAAAGGATTTTGCTCGTCATTCTTCATTATTCTTTGACTCTCGCAACTCAAGAATGTCCAGGGGAGAGGGAAGAAACTTAGATGAGATAAGGAAGCTTGGGTTTCATGGGAGTTTAGTAATTTTCATCCAAAATCACTCCGATTAAACTTTTTCTCTCTTTCTCTTCTTCGTTTTGATTTATTACTTGTCAATTTTTGCTATTTCCAAATCTATGTATGGCTAAACATAGAGGAACGGTAAACCTATTGATAGATTTGACTCGTTTTTACCTATTGGTTAAGCTTAATATTTATTTCAAACTTGTATACATATAATTATTTGATACTTGGCTAACATTAAACGTGATTTTGGATGTTGGAATTTTTCCTTGACAAAGGAGATTCTCATTTGGACTATTAGATTGAGTAATATGAAATAAGATTTTTGTTGATTTTGTATTTAGGATAAACATATGCCTAATTGCCTTATATAATCACTGTAGAGTGTTATTAGTTTGAACTGCCTCTTAGATAATTGTATTAGACATAACATAATTAATTTAAGAGAGGGTTATTAGTGGATATTGAAAGACACTTGTAACTATTAATACTCTTGATTAATAAAATTGATATTGAAATTAATTAATTAGGTTAAGATGGAGTCCATAGAGTTAATATGTGATTAGTAACTCTATGTTACTTTTTACACAAGTGGTTGTTGAAGTAAGAATCCCGTTGCATTTTGTTAAATTCAAATTTAAGTTTTGTTAATCAATTAATTTTAATTAGTTTTGTTTAATGTAAATAAAAATGAAGTCTTTATTGATTAGTTGTTATTTTACTTAATTTCTTATGAGACCTTGACATGCCAACAAATTGTGCATCACGCTCCTTCCAATATGTTTGATGTGCATTTGATACTTAAATTAGTCTTGATCCTTCTGAATAATTTTTCAGGGGATTTTATCGGAGTTTTCCCATATAATAAAATAATTAATTAAAAGAATACATAAACATATTTACCGGGATTCTAGAAAATGTTCCATTATGTGCCAAGACGGCTAATTTCCACGTTTGAGAGTTCAAACCAGCATTGCTGTCGGTGAAAAATTCTCTCTATTTATAACATCGACAATTACTCAATCAACGCTGTCTTGGAGAATTCGGTGTTTGGACACTGCATAGCTAAGTTGAGCGAGCTCGCACCTCCTCTCTCTCTCTCTCTCCCCGCTCCGCCTTTCTCCGCGTCCTAGGCATTCTCACCTCCGTCCTTCTTTTATCTTCTATATTTTCACCGCCAACGATCCTGGCGGTGCTTTTAGGAGGATTAACCAGTAAGCCGACTCAAAAGAAGTAGTGGTGGGGGTGCTAATGGCGGCCACGGCAGCCTCCGACATCACCGACGGTCCTGTCCTCAGCCTTATTAACAAGCGTATCCGTGGCCTCCGCAAGAAATACAATCGTATTTTGCAGATGGAAGAGTCTATTTCTCAGGGCAAATCAATCAACAAGGAGCAAGAAGAAGTCCTTCGTTCGAAACCCACCGTTTCGGCTCTTATCGACGAGCTGGAGAAATTGCGCCAACCTCTTTCCTCTGCCGTGAAGAAAGAAGTCCATCTTGCCCTTCAGAATAATCAAATCTTCCTGGCTTCCCAACCACTTGAAGAAAATCACCAGAAATCCGACGAACCAGAGTCTAAGAAAGAAGACTTGGACCACGTTGTGTTGGAAGATATTATTAATCTGCTCTATTTTGGGTCCTTGTTTGATGTGAAGTCGCAGAATGATTTCACCTCGACGATGCTGACGAGAACTCATGAGCGAGGATGTTGCTTGACCTACGATTATGTGACCGATGACGCCACCGATCTACTTGGAGAGAAGGATTTGGATTTGATTGCTATGCTCGGTAGTCAATTAATGTCGCGGCCTGCAGATTCAAGTTTATCCCACAAAAACGCACTGCAGCAGTGCGTAGAGCACGCAAAGCTATGGCTCGCGAGGGCAGAGCAGCCCATTGAGCCGAATGTTGATGTTACGTGTATTGTCCCCATTTTTGGTTCTTATTTTGTTAGTTTTTCTCTATGTTAATATGGCTGTATCTTGCTGATTCTAAGCCTATTTGTAGATGCGAATTTGAGGGAGAAGTTGAATAAGATCATGTCTTCAGAATACTTCACCACCTCCCCTGAGATGAAAGCTCCGGTTGAAGTTGCTGCTGCTGCGGCGGCTGGAAACTACGCTTCTTTCCAAGTGCCAGTACATGATACCATGGTAGCTGCTTCAGTTCCCGTGGAAGTGGATGGTGTGATTTCTCAGTCTCAGGAAAAGGTATTATTTCTGGCTTGTAATTGTAAATTTGTAATGTCTTGTAAATTGGGTTAAGTTTCTGTTTATGTTTAAAATTTGCTTAATAATGTTGTCTTGCGTCAGTAATTTGTGAATGGGCAAAACTTAGGGACTTAGTCTTATATATTTAATGTACTTGTATTTAATCATATTAAAACAAGTGATTTTTAATGTGTTTATAATATTAATAACAGGAATTTATTATAGAATAAATAATCTAATAATGATTCACATGTCTTGATTTAATTGGAAACAAACATATTGAGCATATGATGATACACAGGTGGTAATGGGGGCAGTAATGCAGCCTTATTATTGTTGCTGTTTATACTTAAAATTTAATTTAATGATGTTGGTTATTCAATTGTTTGATTGACGAAGTTCGTTCACATTACTTTGACGGAAAAATGGATGCTTTGAGAGGAACAATGCTTGTAACCTATTTTTTCCTTTTTAGATTTAATTACTGTAACTGACAAGTAGGAGGAGAGGGATGGGAGAAGAGTATATTCTAATTCTGTTGGTTCTCCTTTTTCATTCTTCACTGAAGATATAAGGTTATCATGAATTTATGCGGTCCTCATATGGTACAACAATTTAGTTCTGGCTTTGGATTTTAATATTTTATTCAAAGCCGTTAAGCACCTTCCTAAATGTTACTGCTGTATGATGTGCTATCATATTTGGCTTGGACCATTCATGAAGGATAGCCATGCACAGATAAATAAACGTGCCATTTACGGAAACTTCCTTTTTATTGATTTAACCGAAGATGGCAAGGTTAATTTCTGCCAGATATTACTGGTAATGTTTTATATGGGAGCTATAGCCTGTTGTAGTGAATGTTCAAGAGAAGTGGTACCAAGTTTCAGTTGTGTTTGAGGTCGAGTGGAAGTGGCTAACTCACCTTAGTTTGATATGCTACTGGAGAGATCTGATAGGTATAGTGGTTTCTGTTAAACTTTTGTGGAGTGCTAAAATAATGAATTGTTTTTTTTTTTTTTATCGCAATGGGTTATTAGGAACAAAGATTTTGTGATAGACTTTTGTGTAGACTAGAGCTAGAGCTATACCCTAATCTGAAGCAAGAGATAAGGAAGTACGTTGTGGTTAGCCAATGCTTAAGCATTTCAGCGACTGATTATTCTTTTAACGACTTTTTCACACCACCAACAGGGCATCTTGAAATTTTTAGTAACTGTACAATCCCGTGAAACCTTTACTAAACTTTCTAGGCCTTAAACTTGGGATCGGAAGGTTATAGTATAACGACTATGGTAGAACCCTCTACTGCTAACATGAATACAGAAATAAATCATAAAGTAATGAAAAAATTATAATGGAAAATAACAAAATAAACTATCCTTTGATCCAACAAGAATATGTTCATGCAAACAACACTGACAGATGTAGAATTAATAACACGGATCAAGTAAAACACTCAACTACATGATAAATGCAGTATTGAAGAAAACAGACGCAATCATCTCGGGCTAGCATTTGAGAGGCTAGCACACTTTTCCTTGGACCTTTCTGCCATATTCTTGACACCCTTATACAGCCTCCCATTTTACTAAATACCATACAACTGCCCTGTTATTTTTGCCTCCACTCATCCCTCCTCAACCTTTTAAACTTAGTAAATTATTATTTGTAACTTTGGAGTTTATGCCCTCAACTGATTGGTGAGATCAACGGGTGCTGCAGAAGGAAATCCATCCAACTTGACAGGTCCTGAATTTCCCCAAACTAAGCAATGGAACAGTCTTGCTGGTGACAACCAGAGGGTTTGCTAACAGTGGTAGCTAGGAGTCGTGAGCTAGTGGCCAATGCAAGATGTGTTAAATGGTCTAATTCCTTGTCAAAGTTTTACCGTTTAAGAAATGTCTCAAGCTTCACATTTGAGCTTGTGGCCTTGTTGGATATCCTTGGTTACAGTTGCACCGCTGAGCTAATAGAATAGAATCTTCCTATCCAATCCATCATGTAAATATTGTGCGCACTGCACCAGGCTGTAGTAGAGAGAAAGAAGTTTGAGGTACTAACTTGACTTTCTTCTGAACAATCTTTTATGTGAGAGATATGAGTCTAGTATGTGTAGTACATTCTACTAGTAAAGAAGTTTGGGGCTCCCTTGTTTAGAATAGGGACTTGGCTTGGCATGCTTACCTCTTGGCCTGGCATGCGTGCCTTTATATTATCTAATGTGATTGGGCTTTCACCTAAATCGCTATAATTTGACTACTTTAAGAACTACTACAATATTGTAGAACCACTATGGCTACTTGTAGCAAGTTTTGTAAAGCAGCTGCCACAAGCTGTATGCAACCACAGGTTTTCCTTTGTGATTATAAATTGTGAAGAATAAAAAAACTTGAAAGTTTTCTTCTCAATCCTGTATCTAAGTGCAACTAACTTTATCCTTCCACCTTTAGATGTCATAATGTGTTTTTGGCTTTGTTGCAACAAATTTCTTTTTCCATAATAATAGTTTTCACAAGAATCTCCTAAAATCATGCTTCCCTAAGATGACTTTATTTGTGTGTTCATTAAAGTTCTTTAAACATGTAGTCATGAAGGCAAATGTAGTAACACCTGCAAACGTGTTTTTTAATCTCAAAAGGCATACTTCATGAGATAGAAAGCATGGTTTAAGTGGGTATATTCATGCTGTAGGTTGCATTTGTAGTTTGCTTCAGTCTAAAATCATTCATTTAGTGTTCTGGAAGCATGATATGATTTACCTGATTTTGTTTGTGCCGAAAGCTTAGCTTTTAACTGTGGTTCCCAAGCATTCAAACCAAGCACATGGAGACTAAGGGCATGCAATTACCTTTTCAGCCTGTTAACTTCATTTTCATTAGTTTTATCCTTAAAACTTGGTGAGAGCTTCATAAATACCTCTCTTCAAGGCCCCTTTATGGAAAGGTTTTACTGACTAAAGGACTCAAGGATTTGACTAAAAACTGGAGGCTAATATAAGTCTACAGTTAGGGACTAAAGGATTTGACTATAATTGATTTTGGCCATCAGAATGAAGATCTCCTAGCAGTCAATCCCATATGTTTTGGTAAATCCTTTTTTGCCCTTGTACCTTTCTGCACTTCCATTAGCTTTACATTTGATGGTAAACACCCATTTGCTGTCGACTGTCCTTTTGCCTCTTGTTAAGCTCTCAGCCCTCCTCCTTTCAAAAGCATCAGTCCCTTCCATAGTTGCGTCTTTTCGAATCTGGATCATCTAATGCTTCTTGAATGTTTCTCGAGACAATAAAAAGTAATTCTAGATATAAAAGTTTTGCATTTATCGGGAAGTTTATGAAAAGGTAATTCTAGATATAAAAACTTCGCTTTTATTGGGAAGTTTATGGTAAAACAATTCATTTTAAATGGGATGATTGATGTTTGAACTTACTCCTTTTCTATGGGCTATAGGATTGTCAAAGTTACGTTGTTGTTGCTTGGATTACCCAATATTTCAGTCCCTGATTAGTTGGTTTGCTCTGCTTTGGGAGACAGACCTTTATCCTTCTTTGTCTTTCTTTGATGATAAACTAGAAGTTTAATGTTCAATTGCGGTATTGACCCTCATCTGAGAATCACGTAAACTGGGCACTCTGCTTTCAATATGATGAGCAATATTGCTTTCCATATCAGAGTCAGCGGGTTTGATGGAATGTAACATAGACAGTGGGTTAACAGAAGTTATGTGCAGGTTGTAAGCATTATTTTCGGTAACAATTTTGTAAACAATTTTCTATGCTGGTAATAGTGTATGGAAGTTTTTAACAGGTGGGAATCAAGTTTTGATACCCACCTGAACATTATAGTACATCTTATTAGAATGTTTAGTAAATAAGTGAATTGTACTTAGTCTTAGGTACAGCCTTGCAGGACGCCTGCGTTTATAGAAGCAAGTCAAAGTGTTATAAAGAAGTCCTAAAGTCTTGGAACAAACAAACTAACTTGATAAGTGAATTGAAAATAGAATTTAAATGTCTGATATCCATCCTTTTAAACCGTGGGATAAAGATATAAGTGATTAAGATATTGTGAATAATATGAAATGTCCCAATCAGTTTTTAAAGTACTTGTTTTACTTTTTGATGCTTTTTACTATATTGCCTAAGTTTGCTTTTCTATTTTTTTTTTAATATCAAAAAGGGAGTACAATGTTACTAGGCAAAAGCCCAAAATACAAAAAGGATCTAACCAAAAAAATCCCATTAGAGAGGATAGAGTGATACCCAAAGCATTGTTATGCAGAATTAAAAAAAAAAAAAAAAATTGTGGTAAGCAAGAGTTAAAGCTAAGGCATGCCTAAATGTTCTACTAATTCGATGATACGTGCCTCGCCTTGCAATTTGGCCATTGTTTGTGTAAGCTGAGTCTAGTCACCCGTGACAAATGGTGGTTCAGCTACTCTTTCATGGTCTGATTTTCTGTAATTTCCAAATTTAGTAAGCTGGTTTATATCATTTCTCTATCGCTTTCTGTTGTCCTTCATTTTTTAAATATAAAAAACCCTTCTTTAACCTTTTGTGTCTGTTCTTGCATTATAGTCTCTGTCGGTTAAGAGTTCCTTTTCATGCTCTATAGTATATTGGCATCTTTCTCAGCTCTCCTATTATTCTGTGAAAGCAAACCAGCTTTCTATAGGAGAGAAAGTTAACTTTTTGAGTAGCTTTTTAATCACTCTTAGAAGATACTCTTATGATTATTCACTTCGGATTATCAACCTTTAATACTAGTGGAAGAAAGTATATTTCTGACAGCTAGTGGTTATAAGAGCTAGGCTAGTTTATATATTTATTTGAGAACATTTTATAGGATAAACAGCCTATCGTCAAATTTTGCCCTTTCTTTGCTATTTATATTTAGCTCACTGGTTTCACACATTTTGTAGGATGAAGGGACAGCAGATTTTCAAGGACATGAATCTGGAGATGATCAGGCTTTTCCTGATGGGGAGCTGCAGAAGGTACTCATGGTTTTTGTTCAGGTAGCTAGTCTAAATTTTTATGACTTGATCTTATCTGACGTTGAAAGGTCTATTCTTTTCAGGAAGAAGTAGAAATAGGAGCAGAGAATGCTTCTGAGGTATTGTTGTCAGTTCAACCAGAATATATCAGCAACACAGGGTCTGAGCATGATGAGAGGGAGCATGATTCAAGTGATGCAAAGGAGAAACAGTATTTCACCCGAAGATCTTACCCGAATCAAAGAGGCAACCGTCGTGGTGATGGCGGTCGGAGGGGTTATTCAAATGTGCGTGCAGGTCGAGGTCAAGGTAGCTATCAAAATGGGCGCAACCAATATTATGACCAGCCTGGAGATTATTATCCTCAGAACTATAACTACCGGGGAAGAAACGGCAGAGGTGGTGGTAACTCTTACAAGCACCATGGATCTGGTGGTCAAGTCAACGATGTTTCAGCTGATGTGGGAGTTGGATCATGATCGAGCTCTTAGTATTTATTGCTCCCTATTATATGTAAGGATATCTTTTATTCACCTTCAGCGGCCCCCCCCCTCCCAAAAAAAAAAAAAAAAAAAAATTGGAACACTATAATTCACCTGATATGGAACACGATGTGAAGAATTTTCTCGACCAATTCTGCCATTTTTGCAGTCTGGTTAGTAGTCGAGACTGATGTCTAAAATACTGGAAGAATCTAGTTGCAACATAGCGTATAGGGTCTCTAGCCTAGCACATCAGGGCATATAGTATAATCAGATATTATATGTTCAACTCAAGGTTAGCCTAAACTGCTCATTTTTCCAATGTCATGAAAGCCAAACGTCCAAATCGGCTGGTCGAGGTATTGGTTCATGATTCAATGATCGGACCATAATTTGAACCGTAGTTTAACCGGTTATAAATAAATTAATATATTTTAAATATTATACATTTGAAATAGAAAGAAATAATCATATATAGTAACAAATAAAAATAAATGTTTAAATTTTAAACAAAATAATATATAATAAAAAATATAATATTCATCAATATTACATTATTTTCATCCAAAATATATATAAGTATTTCATAATTCATAATTTATAACTTTAAAATATATACACATATACATAATTTATGCATATTTTATACATTTTTTTATTTCATAATGCTTATTAGGTATAAATATGTATAAATTATAATTTTAAAATATGAATTAAAAATAAAAAAATTAAAAAACAATATAATCGGTTCTTGCCCGGTTTTGGCCGGTTTTACCGGTTCGTGGCTGGTTATGTCAGTTCTTGATTGGTTCTTGAAATTTTTAGTTTTTTGTCATGACCGGACTGGACTTGGGACCGGTTCCCGATTGAACCGGTTGGACCGGCCGGTCCGGTCTGGTACTGATAACACTGCATTTTTTAGAGGAGATTTGGACTATTTAAACTTATTTTTGGCCAAGATTAAAATTTTATATTTATATATTTTTTTCAAATTTACAATTAGAAAATCTTTATAGGTGGAAATAAATAATTGAGTAAACACGTCTTAGAAATAAGGGTGAAATATACTGAGCATCCTTCTATTATGAAATAATTAAACAGACTTCTCATTTATTTGGAAAATGCGTATAATTTTTTTTAAAATTAAAATATGTTACATGATTTTTTTTGTATATTTGATATTCCATTTTTATTTAAAATCATTAGTTGACTGTTAAATATGACTTTCAAATTTTTAATTTGATCAAAATGCCCCAATTTATCATAAGAATTTTCTAAAAATATGTTTGCCAAATTTTTTAATATAATAATTACGTATTCAAATTTTTATTATATTATAAAATTTATTAATTTGGCATATTGTAAAATTTTATTTTTTTAATTTTCATCAAATTTATTAAATTTTATTAATTTATGTTTATTAAAATTCCTAAAAATATATTTTTGTTCATCACATTTTATATACTATATACATACGTCCAAGAGGTTATATAAATAATTTAAATTTAAAATTTAAAATTTGTAAACGTATTTTTGACAATAATTATGTAATTTTCAAAATAATATAATTCAGAATTTATTAGGTGAGGGTTAAATTATTAAATAAAATTTGTTGTGATCTGAATTTTATTTAAAAATAAGTTTTTAGAATATGTTTAACGGAATTGATGGATTAGATTATTAAGGCAAATACAATGGTAGTTAAAGTATATTTTATTCTATAAATAAATATAATATGGTTTATTTTGATCGCTAAAAGTCCAAGTGCTAAATCACCGGTCTATGTAATTTAAAATATGTGAGGTTTTGGTGAATTGTGTTGATTTACAAATAACATTTTGATTTTTAGTATTTACAACTACAGTTTGAAATTAACCACTCCTCTCCTCAAACTTAAGTATAAGATTATTCTCTATAAATAATTTGGAATTAAATAACAAGTAGCTTCTCACGAATCATAGCTTTTGTTTTAATATTAACAACTATGAGTTTAACATTCACAAGTCTCCTTAACTGTCAATATTTTTCATGAGTTAACTGCGCAGCAAGAAGTAGCCCAGAATTGAATAATAAGGTCCCTTTCTTGAATAACAATTTTAGAGTACGGTATTAACAATTATGAATTTGAAATTAAAATGTCCTCTCAACAAAGTCAATTGTAAGATTATTATTCCCTCCATTCTAAATTATTAGAAGTTTTTGAATAAAATTTCATAAAAATTTTTTTATTAAATAAATTGAATAACTTTATTTTAAAAAAATATAAACTTTTAAAAGAAAAGATAATATTAGAATTAGTCTATTTAATAAAATTTTAATTTTTTTAAGGTGTTTATATTTTAGGATCAAATTTTTTTCACAAGTGTCTTGTAATTTATGAGAGGGTGTATTTTGCATAAGTACAACGGAACTAAATAACAAGTTCCATTTTATGAGTAGATTTACAATATTAATGACTATGGGATTTGAAATTAACAACTCTTCCCCATAATGCCATTTCCTTTCATGAATAATTATTTTGGTTTTCATTTCCTCTTCCATGAATAACGAATTGAAAATCAAAGATGCTATTCGTGAAAGGAAATTGTAATTAACTTTGCGAAGAGAAGTTGTTAATTTTGAGCCTGTAGCTGTTGATGTTAAAAAGCCAAGTTCTTATTCGCAAGAGGCTATTTGTTATCGTATTATAGCTATAAGTTACTCCAGAAACATGAAGGGCAGTATGGCTATTTTGCAAGTAAAATTATTGTCAGATATTAAGTTTATTGAGACTGCAGTGACATTAATTGATTTCATGCCACTTCATTAGCATTTCAATAATTTGGTGGGTCTTATTTGTCATTCTCCCTTTAAAGGAACCGTGGAGTGGTTCTAGAGAGATGTTCAAAGACTAGAATTTGTTGAGTTTTACGAAAATAATCTTATATTGAAATAGATTGTATGGCTCTCTGCAAAGCTTTGCTGATTACTATTTACTCTCTCTGTTAAAAAAATATAAAATATTTTTAATTGAATTTCACTTCTCAATAAAATAGTTACTTTCATTCAAATTAACCTTACCTTTTTATATTTATCCTTATTTAACAAAGTATTTTATCTTAAAATAAATATAGAGTAATTTATTCAATAGAGGCATTTTAAAAAAAACAATGATTATATTTTAAAAGACTAAAAATGTTTTACATTTTTTAACAAAGGGAGTATGTCTCAATTTATAAGACAGGATACTTTTGAGAGAAATTTGGTACCTCAAAATATAAGATACTTTGACGAAAATAAAATTTCATTAATGATACTTTTTTAATATTACTTTTTTTTATTATATTTTGTCTCTTTAATTTTTTTTATAAATGGAATATTGAATGAAGGTTGTAAAATATATTTAATAAATTTTGTTAATACACATGATTTTATACAAAAATATCTTATAAATTGGGGGGGAGGGGGAGTGATTCTTTAATGGATTGTGATTGTTGGTGCATTGTTAATGTGGTAGCAAAAGTGATTTTCATGTCTTCAAGAATTTCTTAGTCCCTAAGCAAGAAGTTAAAAATGGGCATTGATTGGCATGATAGGTAACGTTTTAAAGAGGTAATTGAGTAGGTTGAGAACAAAGTAGATTTGCCAATAGCCTAGTGGTATGAAATTCATATATTCTAGGTTCAATTCCACTAGTTTCAAGTGATTAAATTGGTATATAAAAAGTTTATCATTGATATATAATAATATATCATTAACAAATATAATAAATTAGTTATAATGTAAAATATAATAGATGTTGAGTTGTTTGATCCTATAACATGGATTATATTCATAAAAACTTCTTTAATATCTTTTTCTGGTTAAACTTACGGTGTTTTGAAGCTTCATTACTTGTTTTTTGTATTTGGAGGTTTGCTGTTATTTTAAAATTCAAATTTCTAGCCCTAAAAAAGAAAAAAAAAACTGTATGATACATAATTTTGTTTTTTTGTTTTTTTTTTTTGGGAAATACGAAGACACAAGGTCACAAGCTAAAGCTTGGAAAAGGAAGAAACAAAAACTAAGAAAATATCCTACATAACAGGCACATTAGAAGCAATCGGTGACATCCTGATGAAACACTTGTCAGCACAACATCTGTCAAAACATATTACAGGGCATAAGTTAGCAAGGTAATATCAGCATTGGAGATTTGGAGTTACTTTAATTTGTATCCATTCTTGGCTACAAGATCAATGCAACCAATGTTATCTCAAAAATAGAAGACATTTTAATAAAATTAATATTTTATTAATGATATTTTTCTAATATTGCCCCCTTCATTTTAAATTATAAAACAATTTTAGACAAAATTTTACATACCAATAAAGCTTATTAAATATATTTTACAGTCTTAATTTTTCAAGGCAAAAATATAATATCTCATTGATGAAAGAATATTGAAGAAAGATAATATATGGAAAGGGTAATATTAAAAAAGTATCATTAATAAAATCTTATTTTTATTAAAGTGTTTGATATTTTAAGACGTTAAATCTTTCTTAAAAGTGTTTTATAATTTGAAACAGGTATAGTACCATACATCAACCTACTGACCTCAGATATAAGAGATCTTATGAAGGTTGGGAGCGTCAATTGAGTCTAAGTAAACATGAATTTTAAAAAAGCCAAGCTGTTTTGATAGCATTAAACCTGCTCTTACTGAAACGGAAAGAACAGAAACGAGTTGAAACGGAAGGCACACACATAATGGAGCATAATAAACTCTTTGTAACCTTCTCTTAATTTCTGTAACCTTCCTTTAAATTTGTATGGTTCAGTTTCACAAATTCCAGGACTATAAATAGGACCCTTGTGGCTGTGTAAGAGGCAGACTTGAAAAGAATAAGAATTACTTGTTTTCATTTGGTTTCTGTGCCATTTTGGTATCAAAGCCAGGTTCAGAGAGTGAGAGAGTAAGTTACAGTTGAGAAAGTACGCCGGAAAGAAGAGAGATTCAGAGGAGGAGTCCCTGACGTCTTTGCGTTTTGCAATCCAGGCATTTTCTTGAAAAACTAACATCACCATTGTGCTCAGGAGGTCCGAAAACGTGGAACAAGAGGCTTCCTGTCACCAGAAAACACTACACGCACCATCACGCGCCTCCGTCTGAAGTCCACGCGCCTCACCGCCGATCCACGTGCCGTCACGTGCCATCCGGAGGTTGAAGACGCTGAAGGTCAACCCAGTAGTGTTCTGCCACGTGTCATCATCACCACGT